AAATCTAAGTTGAGCATTGCTATGTTTGTGATAATATATCATTGTGGTTGTTTTGAGATTCAACATTTGTTTGAAAAAGAAATAAAAAGAAAAAAATTAAAAAAAAAATATTATTTTTTACAAAAATATTCAAAAGGAAAAAAAAATAGTTTTTATTTCATTATTCGCTTATGTATTGAAAAATCTGATTTTGATTTTATGTTTTAGAAAGTGGCTTTAATTTCAAAATATTACTCAACTATATTGTATAATTGTCATTCTTATTTCTCCCTAAGCAACCCAAATGTGTGTGTGTGTGTGTGAGAGAGAGAGAGAGACAGAGAGTGTGTGTGTAAGAGAGAATAATAAGAGATTTTGAGAAATTAGAAGCTAACTTGGGCGATGGGGCTATCGAGATTAGGATGGCTTCTATAACAATCCAACCCGATATTACATAGGTTATACCATGCCAGATTGTGACAAAACTGACTCCAAGTTCTAATTGAAGAAGTGTGCTGAGAAAAACTAAACTTTTAATTTATACATAATAGAGAGCCACTACTAAATATTAAAAAAATGGAAGACTATTGAATCTAAAAAATTATTTAGCTACATATTATTCAACTACTGCAACACTTCGCAATTAACAAACAGAGCAACACTTGGCAACTAACAAACAGAGCAAACTGAAAGCAAGTTTGCAAAAATAAAACAAGCCAAAAAAGGCATACTTATAATACAGATTAGGGTCTGCAATCAAAACTACTATGCTCGTTCCTTTCCCTTTCCTTGGGTTGAAAAATGAAAGTTAAGTAGGAGAAAGCTAACACGATTCAGTAGGCTATCGTAGCTTAAAACAAAAGTAAATAATTGAAAAAAAAAACTAAAAATACTATTCTGTAATAGTAACTGAAGTACTGTATGGAAAATAAAAATTGAAACATATACTGATGCTGAATGCATTTAAATAACTATTGAATTGTATTTAAACATAAACATAAACAAATATATTATAATAAATTTTAGAATAACCCTTAGGCTCCAATTTCTTGTCCCATTTATTAGTTAGCATAATCCCTCCTCAGCAGCCCTCAAGTCCCGATATCATTACACATAACATGACAGAATCCCACCTCAATATCTGAATAGCTCTAGTATTAACTAAATTCCACCTCGGTAGCCCACCAGATCTGAACCAACATAGTCCTACATCAATAGCTCTCTGATTACGACATAACACAACATACCAGAATTACCGTCGGTTGGTTTTTCACCGGCGAAGAATGAAAATTTCCTATGGATTTTCATTGTTACCCGCGAATTTGGTCCGTCGGTAAAATGCCATTTTCCTGTAGTGCTTTTCTTCGCTAGAACAATTTCATATTTCATTTAATATACATATATTCAAATGCATTGTAATAAGCAAAGTATAACTGAACTTAATTTAGAATTTATTAAAATACCTTAACATTAGGCAATATAAAACCATATTGAGTATAAATTCATATTTTCTGAAATTAACCAAAATACCAGAGATCGTGTATAATAGTATTTTGAAGCTTTAATTGAGCTTGAGTATTATTTTTATATGTCAAAATAAATTTGTGAATTGATAAATATTACTGCCTTTTCAAAAAACACTCTACGATAAATTTTAAATAAATACTCAAAATGACTAGAGCAATCGTATGGATAATATATTAAAAATTACACAAATAAAAGTTACCAGAATCCGATAAAGCCACATTTTTGTAAAACCAAATTATAGATTTGATAACAAAAATATCAAAGTACCAAATTATTGAAAATTAAAATAGGCAAAATGTAACATATCTTGAGGACAATAATTTTTTTTGCAAGGCAGACTAATAAAAACTGTTATGAGACCACTAAAACCTAGCTTTCTTTTTCTCTCTCCTATCATTTTCTTCTCTTTTCCAATTTTTGGTCTCTATTAATGGAAATAAAAAGATAAAATGGAATTTTAATCAAAATGTATAATGGCTAAAGATATTTGTAATATAATAATAAAATGATACAAATATAATTATACCATTTATTTTGATTTTTGGCATAAAATTCATAATTTTTTTTATCTTCAAATATGAAAATCCAAAAATTAGGAAAAAAAATACTATAATTAGAAAATAATAATATCTATGTTATGGTGAAGCTGGTTTATAATTTAGACTTTTAACGACTCTTGAAATAAAATTTAATTTTTATAGGTCAAATTATATATATATAATTTTGATCCAACCCGATACTACATAGGTTATATTTTGATCCAACCCGATACTACATAAGATGTATATATATAATTTTAGAGTTATAACATCTTCCTCTTACTTTAAACTTCAATAACTTTTGATCATTTTCTACTTTATCGACGTTTTACATGATTAGATACGTGAAATGAGACTTTAGTATATTTTGATTGAATTTCAAAAATAAAAACATAATAGATCATTCTTTGAGCATTCTAACATATTTTCACTTATTTTTATCCTAATTTAAAAATGTATTATTATATGTCATGTACTCATATAATATTGTTGTGATCATGTAGCTCAATATGTATGTGAATAATATAGTGGTTCTTGATAATTGTATGATAATTTATTATATATAGTCTGCATGTTACATAACATACACATTATGTATCATGATGGACTTTCAGAGCTTTAGAATTCTATGAGTGTTCTTGCATGCACTATGAAATGACTCATATGTTCGTACATACTTATAATATTTCATGTGTTTCTTCACTCTTTATATAGCCATGGTGCAATTCTACATAATTTTATATAGTTTACTTTATGCATTTGCAATACTGCATATGTTCCAATTATTTACATAATTATCTATTATTTATGCCTATGGTTTCTTATTATTATTGGAAATGATTCCATGATATGTGGAATTGCTTGCTGCTTTGCATGTTTTTATATAATGCTATCTATTATTCTAGTTTATTTCATATTCCTACATACGACATTTATAAAAATAAGGGTATGATTGAATTCATGTACGATGCGTGTGGTGCTAACATTAAAAATTGCCGAGTAGCGAATGTATGATTACCTTCATAATACAAATGACTTGTAGTATTGTATTTTCTTATGTTTATCTGATTCATAATATATGCCAAAATTCGTTTATGAATGTTATTACTAAATTATGAGCATGTTATGAAAATTATGTTGTTCCTCAATGAATGATATTAGTGTGACATAATATAACCACTATTGCATTGCATTAGTCACATCAAATCCTACTTGTATGATACAAATGATGATGACACCTTAAATGCCCCAGAAAAAATACATAAGCTCTATTATTATTCCCCTTAGATGTTATGCCAGATCCAAGCTCATTCTAAAAACTTCAAATGGTATTGAATATCTTCTTCCTTATGAGTTGATTCAACAATAAAATATCATATCTTAAGATTAATTGATCAACACAGGAGTATAGCTAACTCATATTTATGTAGTTTTATCAACCAATTGATGAGCTACATCGATAACTTTGGTGATTCCAGCACCTAGCAAGTAGATTGGTCTATCATAACTAGGTATGATTGAAGTAGGAAGTTAATTTTTATATATCAATGCTAGCACTAGCTTGTTCATTTAAGGGATATCGTCACTTTGGGTTGTAAAGGACGTGACTAAAATTGTATAATATACGTTATTGCTTTCCTTCTCGCATTAGAATTGAACATATCGTCATAATATAAACTATTAGATAACTCTATAGTCGAAGAGTTTGATGACATAAACATTGTTAAGGGTTTCTTTTAATCTCTTTTTATGCATCATAAGATTTCCTTATTCAGGCCTCAGTGTTTGTCCCCGTTAATTTCTATTAGTTTGAGCTTAATTAAATTTAATAAGCCAAATAAATATATTTAACCCATCTAATCTCGCTCAAATGGCTGGGCCATAAGCCCATCTAATTCAAGATTTCCTTTACTGGGCTAATTCCAACACCTAGCAAGCCCATCTTAGATTACTAACTTTATTTGATGGTTCCGCTGATTTCACTTTAAGCCCATCTGCACATTATAGCTACTAATCACAGTTTTTTTTTTGCCTATAAATACCTCACTAGAACCCTAGAGGAAGACGCCCCCAAAAAAAAAAAACGCATCCTGGAGCAGCCGCCGCGCTGCTGTTCCGAGCTCCAAAACACAAGAGGTTGCAAGGGCCTTCCTTCCCTTCCTCCACTGTGCCCGTGCTTCGCTTACATTCGCGACCCCAGCCTCCAGTCACCACTCCGCATACGGCCGCACTGTTGCCGGCGCTAACCCGGCGATCTTCCCTAGCACAGCTTACACCGCTCCACGCTATTTTCCGCTTCTTGCCCTTGTCTCATTCATCTGCAAAGTCGCACACCCAATCTCCCTGAGGAAGAGTTTTACGCACCGGTGCTGCCTCTGTACGCTTCTGCCTTCACAGCAGCCGTGCACAATACACCTCCGGTGCGCTTCTGACAGCCGCAGTCGCTCACTTGCCAGGATGTATGGTATTTTCTGTGGTTGGTTTTCTTTTTTAAGTTCTTCCTTCAATATTCAGCTCATTTCTTCGATTGTCTCGGGTCTGAATCAAGAAAGCCCTCTATGATAATATCTAATTTTCTTATGTCTTTTAATCTTTGTTTTTTTATATATTTGAGATGCTGCAACGTTATAATGATTAAAATACTTCAATTTTATGGCTTTGAGAACGAAGCATTTCTCGCATACATAAATAGTATGAATATAAATACAGATAGAATTTAAGCTTAGACCCATGGAACCTGTCAATTTGAGGATTATGTAAAATATTTTTTTGATTAGGTATTTTCTAAAAAATTCGAAACAACGAATGTTTTTATTTATAAATAATTTTTTTAAATAAATTCTAAATGCATATCTTGAGTTGCTACTCGGTACCAAATTTTCAATTACACATTGACTAAATTTAGTTTGGTTTTATTTATTCTTTTTATTGTTTGTGAGTTTTATAAATTTCTAGGGGCAGTGATGAAGATTATAGTCATGCACCACTCTGAGAATTTTCTCAGTGATGATACTGTACTATTACCCATCTATCTGAGCCTCAAATCTCTACTAGTACATGCAAAGGTTATTCTTGATCTATAGTATTTTTGTTCTTTGAAGCATTTGGTTTTTCTTTTTTTCGACTTTTGAATCATGTGAGTTATTATATTTATTAGTTTTAATAAGAAGAACAAAATGATGAGGGCCAACAACTCAACCATGAAGTGTACCAGAATATGCTATTTTTGGTCAATGCAAATAACCATTTCAATTTACCCAGTATGTGTGCCTCACTTTCTAGGCACAACATCAGCTTACAAATGCATATGCGCCCATGCCAACCTCATGATTAGCCCTAGAGCTACTCATTCTACTTCATTCCATCTTGCTGTTACAAACTTACAATGTCATGCCCTTGGTTCCTTTCTCTACAATGTTGCCTATCCTTCTTAAGGAAGATCCATATGCGTTGACATCATTGTTAACGTCATTGTTGGATATTAGTTCAAGATTTAGGTAGTTTTCTTGTGTACTTTCTTTAGTTTTTTTGAATGACTTGTATTGTTATTGTTGTAGCTAATTAGTTGCTTATATCCCCGTCACTCTGAAAAGATATCTCGAGGAGCTTCATTCCATGGGCGCGAAGTTCTTTTGGTTAAAACGCCATGGGATATATAGAGGCTATAGGCCATAATAGGGATATGGTTAAGCAATAAGAATTTAGTTTGCGACTCTCCCCCTTCCTTCTCTCCCTCCTCTCCCAAGAAGCTCATGAAGGAATGGCTTCTTCCTCATTCAAGATCCTAACAGTCAATTTGTCGCTTGTCCCTCCCTATCAACCACACACAATACACGTTTGGGGCATGTCCCATGGTTAATCTCGTGTACTTCTTGGGATGCATTGCATAGGAAGATCCATATGTGCCGACTTTGCCTTGTCGCCTCTCCCTTCATAGCAGTCATGCACGACATACTGTTGGTGCATGTCCATAGTTAATGTCATGTGTTCTTAGGATGAATTGCATTTTTTTTTGTTGGATTTTTTTTCTTTTTATGCCTTCAATATGCACATGATTTTGGATGTATCATAAGATTTTGCTTTTTATATATTTGATTTGCTACTAAGTTTCAAATGATAAAATTGTAATTTTTATGGACTAATGGATTTTTATGGACTAATGGCTCTGCAATGATGAAGAAAAAATGCGCATTTTTTAGGCAATGGAAATACATCCATTGCTTCATGGTGACTCTCTTTCAATCTAACCTGTCTATGCACATTAGGATCCATTTGGATCTTAGAGCTAATGGATTTGGCTTTGTGGAATCTAGTTTTTATATAAATTCTCTTAAGGCCATACTCAACTAAAGATGCTCTTTCTGTGTTCTTCGTCTTAATAACTATTTTATTTGACTTATAGTTTTTAACCTTTCAAGATTTTTTGTAGTGCTCTTTCTCCCATTTGTTGATGATTAAGATTTTGTTTGAGATAGTTTTTTTAGTGCTTTTAAAAATGATTTTTTACAAAAATTAAGAAGCTGTTTTTAAAAGCAGTAAGAAAGCCATTTATGTCTTTTTTTTTTTAATTTTTTAGAGGCAATGATGAAGCAAATAGTCATGCACCACTCAGATCTTTCTCAGTGATGATGATACTGTACTATTACCCATCTTTTTGAGCCTCAAATTAGATTAACACTTGCCGTATGCATTGAAAAATTCTTCTTGATTCAAAGGATTTATTTCTGTTAAGAAAAGGGTTTTTTTCCTTTTGAATCACATGATTTTTTTGTATTTATATTCATGCTAATTAGAAGAACCAAATGATGAGAGCCATTGTGGCTCAACCATGATGCGGACCAAATTTGCTAGTTTTAGCAATGAGGATACATTGATTGCTTTCTGATGGTTCTCTTCCAGATTGAAATGTGGGATTTTGTAAGCATTGATGTAAAGTTATCCATTTCGAGTAGGAAAATATGGTAGCTTATGTCTTTCTATTACTAAGTGATCAGTAAGTAAATCTAAAATTGGTTGGATTTATCACATTGAAGGCAAGTTTGTTGATTGTATTGAATTTTCACAAGCCAACAAAGTTATCTTGAATGGAGTGAGCAAAGCTGTGAGTAAACAGTCATTGTAGAAATTAGTTCATGAAATTAAAATTAGGATATGAATTTAAAATATATGTTTCTTTACTAGAAAATTAATAGAATTTATAGATATTATGATTTCTAAGAGGTTAAATATTTTGTGCATTCTTAAAATTAAATAGGTTGCAGAAAATACTAAGGAGATTCATAGTTTAGGATTTAAATTTTGATATTTGAGTATTTTGGTATTTGGGTAGGAGTTTTATTAGGAATGATTTTGAAGTATAATGTTATAAAAATAATATTATTAGAGATAAAATTATAATTTTAAAGATTGTTGTTAATGCTAAGATTGTTAATATTATAGGTGCGTGTGCTTCTTTGCTTGGATATGGCTTGGATATGTATTCAAAATTAATTTTTTTGAATGATTTTAAAAAATTAATGAAAAAAGAGTTTTTATTGGAGAATATTTAAATTGACATGTTGATAGGAACGTAGATGATTTTAAAAATATTTATGGTGGATATGAGTTTGGAATTATAAATGAATGTGATAATATATTTTAAATTTTTATTTAGTTTATAATTTTTTAATCGTATATCTATTTAAGAAAAGGAATAAGTATCTAATTACTTATAAAATGGATACAATACAATTTTAGTGATTATGTTTTTTATAAGAAATTATCTTTTAGATTTCAAATATTGTAAAATTATTTCGAGTTAAATTTATGTATCAACATTAATTATTAGTTTTTGGAAAAGGGTGAGAAATAAAAAATAAAGTAAAATATATTTTAGAATAGATGTGAGTCTTAAAAAAATGGTAACAAAATATTTTTGAGAGAGATTTTAGATTTTAAGATTTTGTCTTTGCATGAGAATGTTAATGTTATAGGAAAAAAAAAGTAGTTAGTGCTATAAGAATATGTAAAAAAATGTGCTTAGTGTTTTAAAAGTAAAAATTCCTATAAAAATTATTGGTGGGGAAATCTAGGAAATCTAAGAAGTTATAATATGATGCAAAGATTTTAATTTTTAGTTATTTATATAATATATTAGATATTATGGAAGGAGAAAGATATATGCAAGTTTTGAAACGGACGGACAACGGACCGGAAGAAGGAGAGGTTCACGGTTTGATCGGGTTCGACCGGTCGAACCGATGACGTAATAATAAATTAATTATTAAATTGAAAATTTTCCTCTAATACATTCACTATACATTTTATTTTTCATATCAAACTAATCAAACAATATAAATATATGACAAAATATCTGCTATTTCCCACGTTTTAGATCTGAAACTAATGTGTATGAGGGAAAAACTGGGAAGACGGCCGCTACTCTACTACAAAGATTCTACTACAAATCAAGGAGGTAATAGCAAATGGATGCAGACTCTCATCTTCTCAGCAGGCTTCCCAATCCTAATGCCGTCTTCTCCTACTTCATCAATTCAGAAAGGTTCACACACCTTACCCTCAATTCAATCAATTCAGAAACTAAAAAACAAAATGTTTCATAAATCACAACGTATGAAGAGCATGGAACACACGACATTCATGTCGATAAAAAAGGTACAGAACTTCATATTCACTAAGAAAAAGAATTTAACATAAATATAGAGAAACCGCTTGTTTCAATTTCTGAGCAGCAATTACCAAGCAACGACGAAGGAAGAGGATCGGAAGAGACGCGCGGCTTTGAGAGTTACGGGAGTAGGAGAAAAAACTAGATTTTACTGTCACAACTTCACCTCAAATACCGCAGGATTGAAATCAAGCGGCCGAAATTTGCGATTAAGATTAACTGGGTGGTTCGCATCCGGTTTCCGGTTCGCCGGTTTCACGGTCGGACCGCCAGTCGGACTGGTTCAAAGCCGGTTCTTTGCTTACCCGATTTTAGTGTAAAAACGAACCGGCCGGCCGACCGGGTACCGGTTGCTGGTCCGGTCCGGACGTTGGATATATGTATAAGTTAACTAAATAAAAATATAGGATTAGTAATGAATTAGTTCAAGTGAACTGTATTAAGTATATAAATAAAAAAAAATTATTCTTAGAAGATATTCAACAAAAATGAATGAGATATTTTGCTAAATTTTTTTTTTAATGAAGAATGTGAAAATATGATGCACTCTAGTGACCTTAGCATTCTAAATGAAAATAAAGATTTTGTTTTTATTGGCATATTAGTAAAATTGAAGTTAGATAGGCTTTAAAGAAAATGAAGGATGGAAAAGCTATTGGACATGATGATATTCCAATAGAGGTGTGAAAATGCTTAGGAGATAAATGAATTTCTTGGCTTATTAAACTTTTTAATAATGTTTTGAAGACTAAAAAGATGACATATGAGTGGAAAATGAGTGTGTTAATTCATATTTTTAAGAATAAAGATGATGTATAAGATTGTGCGAATTATAATGGAATTAAGTTAATGTGTCATGCTTTAAAATTATGGGAGCGAGTTATGAAGCATAGGTTATGACGTGATACTAATGTTTGTTAAAATCAATTTGGATTCGTGCTGAGTAGGTTTACTATGGAAGCCATATATTTATTAAGAGGTTTGATGGACAAATATAGAGAAAATAAGTAGGATTTACATATAATATTTATTGATTTAGAAAAAACATGTGATGAAGTTTTAAAAGAAGTGCTATAGAGAGTTTTTAAAAAGAAAGGAGTTAATAATGATTATATTCAAATTATTAAAGATATGTATGCAGGAGTTGATATTTATGTTCAAACACAAGGTGATTTAACTATGTATTTCCCTATTTCAGTTCGGTTACATCAAGGATCAGCCTTAAGCAAATATCTTTTTACTTTAGTCATGGATGTTCTCACTAGACATTTGCAAGAGGATGTACCTTGGTGTATGCTTTTTGTTGATGATATTCTTCTTATTGTTAAGATTATAGAGGGACTTGAAGGTAAACTTGAATTATGGAGGTCAACATTAGAGTCTAAAGGTTTTTGCTTGAGTAGATTTAAAATAGAATATATATATATAATTTTAGTGGTAATAGATTGAGTGAGGCGATTATGACTTTGAGCGGATAAGTCATTAATAAGAGTACACGTTTTAGATATCTTTGATCTATTGTTCAGAGTGATGGTGAAATATATGAGGATGTTCTCAGCAGAATTCAAGTTGGGTTGTTGAAGTAAAGGAATGCATCGGGTTTATTGTGTGATAAAAAAGTACCCCTCAAATTTAAGGAAAAGTTCTATAAGATGGTGGTGAGGCCTGTAATGATTTATGGTGCCGAATGTTAAGTGTGGCAGAGATGAGGATGCTCAGGTGGATGAGTGACTTTACCCTTGGAGATAGGATATGAAATGAGCATATACGTGAAAAAGCTAGAGTAGCTCCAGTAGAAGATAAGATTAAAGAGAGTCGCCCTTTGATGGTTTGGTCAAATAAAACGGCGGCTTTTCGATGACCTGATTAGAAGTAGATGTATTAGATTTGACTTATGCTAAGAATGGTAAAGGCAGACCTAAAAAGATTTGGTTAGAAAACATTAAAAATGATATTTTTTATTAGATTTAAATGAGAATTTGACTTTTAATAAGACATAATAGAGAAAAAAATTCATGTAGCTGACCTCACGTTGTGGGATAAAGGCTTGATGTTGTTGTTACTAATTTTTATTAAAAAATTATACTACAAAATAATAATTAGAGAAAATTTTAAGAAATAAAAAAAAAAAATTAATCTGCCGTATAATAACATATCTATATTTTACTATAAAAATGATACATTTAATGATTATATATATATATATATATAGAACTTGGTTTTTCGTGGCTTAGCACATTGTAGGCTTCTCTAAGCTGAATGAATTTCTTATATCCAATTTTCAAGGAAGGGAGATTGTTTCTGGGTGATATTCTTTTGAAAGTTGCAGATATAATAAATGAATGCTAAAATTTTAGAGGTAATTTATTTATTTGGCAAAAAAAAATTTATAATGAAGTAAAAAATTCAGATAAAAAATATTTTTTATTTGATTGGATGTATGAATCTAATCTAAAATAGGTTGAACTGGCTATAATCATTAAATTTACATTGCATTGCAAATCATATTTATAGATAACCATATTATGTAAGATTGGGTATGTAGAATCCTATTCACAGAGGATTCAAGTCAATTGAGTTATTAAAAAATAAAAAAATAAAAAGAATAAGAAGGCAATTTTTTGAAAAGGAGCAATAGTTTAGTGAAAATAATCAAAAGGGGTGAAGTATAAATATGCAGATATTTTGTGCTATTCTAAGCCTTTTTTTTTTTTTAATTTCAATTCTGTTCTTTATTTTGATATAAATGTAATATTCTGAATTTAATCTTTTTCTATAGTTCTATTTTTCATGAAAATTATGTTTCATATATAATTAAAAACCATCCACCTATCATGCATTTAAAACTGCAATTAGAATAAAACCCGCTAGTCTGCAATGAAAAAAATGAACAGTACCACAAATAATTCCAAAAATATCTCAACTATCACGAACTTTTATTTGGTCTAGTCACAGGACGTAGCTCTACGTTCGGCCGCCAGTAGAATCGTGTCAC